GGCATTCTTGTCCTTCTTGGATGCTTCCTTTTCTTCTGTCATCACACCAAAGATGATTGCTGACTCTCTATGTGAAAGGAAAACCATCTCTTTTCAGGGCTGCATGGTGCAGATCTTTGTTGTACACTTCCTTGCTGGTGCCGAGGTGATTGTCCTCACAGCCATGGCCTATGCCCGCTATGTGGCCATCTGCAAGCCCTTGCACTATGTTTCCATCATGAACAGGAAGCTCTGTCATGTTCTGGTTGGCATAGCCTTTACAGGAGGGTTCCTGCACTCCATTATCCAAATTCTCTTCACTTTTCGCCTTCCCTTTTGTGGCCCCAATGTCATTGAACATTTCATGTGCGACCTGTACCCATTACTGAAGCTTGCATGCACTGACACACACATCTTTGGCATTTTGGTGATTGCCAACAGCGGGTCCTTCTGCATTATAATAGTCTCCTTGTTGCTTGTGTCCTACGGTATCATCTTATTCTCTCTGAGGAAGCAAAGCTCTGAAGGACGTAGAAAGGCTCTGTCCACCTGTGGGTCCCAAATTGCTGTTGTGGTTTTATTCTTCATACCTTGCATGTTTATATATGCAAGACCTCCAACTTCCTTCTCCGTTGAAAAAATGGTTTGCATATTTTACACCATGATAACTCCATTGCTTAACCCTTTGATTTATACGTTTAGAAATAAGGATATGAAAACTGCTATCAAAAAACTCCAGAAGAGATTGGTAGCCATTTCCCATGAACAATGAAAATGAATCTATTCTCAAATAATAAATTCATGTGTAAATCATTCCAAAGCATTTTAGGTAAAAATTGTGGTATTTCCTCTGCATATATTATGCCACTGTATGTCTATAGAAATAGATATCCTGTAGTTTCAAGAATATATTTTTAATTTTCTATTAGATATTACTTCTGAGCTGGTAAGTTAAAGAGAGTTGGATTTTTTATTTACTTAGAAACTTACAATCCATAAAAAACCTGCAAATAAATTACTTAAGAGATTACCTACACTAGGGTTTTGTTTCTGTATGTCCCCCAATGCCTCACAGTTTCATGGGATGACTTTAAGAGGTTGTGATTAATTCATGATCCAATGCTAGGATTATAGGCTTACTGTGTATAATGCATACGTTCAGAGAACTAATCTTTCATTTCTTTCCATGCATGCAAATCTTAGTTTTATTTTATTTTATTTATTTTAACTCATTTTATACTGATGTTTTGAAATCACGTCTACCTATGATTCCCAGCCAGGCCCTAAACTCACTGTGTAGAGCACACTGACTTTAAACTCATGGTAATCCTTCATTCTCAGCCTCACAAGGACTGAGATTACCACCATACTCAGATCAAATTTTATCTTTAAACCAGCCATAATACCCATATCTTCTTTTTTTGCCAGCTCTGTCTGTCCTGAGTGTTGGGCTATCATGGCATGTGGGCCTGGGATAGAACTGTGGTCCCTTCACCTGCCTAAGCTTGCCTAAGCAGGTACATTAGATTGTTGATCTATTTCTCTGGTCAATATCCAAATCTTTTACTTGATGTATTAGAAAGCTTTTATAATATTCTGAGATGTTAAAAAACTGCCTTATGAATGAGAAAGAATTATGAAATCAACCATGGACATAGATATAGCTAGATATATATATAGCTATAGCTAGACACATAAATATAGATGTGAATACATATGAAGAAAAAATATTTTTATATCATAAACAATCTAAAATTTAACGTGAGATTTCCTATTGAGAAATGCTGAACAGATCATATGAAGTGAGAAACACTTTGATTAGTTACCAGGCTCAGACCTAGAGTAGGACAAATGTTTCACTACATCTTGTCTGTCTGCCATGTGCATTTTGTGTTGGGAAGCACACTTCA